CCTGTAAACACACACCTACCTCCAAACACGATGGCGGAAACAGCCGGCCATCATAATTGGCACTTTCATCACTGTCAATATTAGTCTTGCTGAGGGGGGCTAATATGGGCGCAAGTTGTTTTTTCATGTGTGAATCGTAAAAGAGAAAGTTTGAGGCGAGGAAGAGAAAGAGAGAGGGGAGTTTTAAAGCGCCTGATTTATATCCCCACCCTAGGAATGGATCATTTCAGCCATAATTAAGAGTGATACAGTTACTATCGCACAGAGACGCCATTCAAAGGCAGCAGCCATCTGCTTGTGTTTTACACCCCCGGTCCTGTGATTTATACTGGGCCTGGCTGGTATGGTATCAAGTGCCCTGGAGGACAGATGGAGAGAGAGAGAGAGAGAAAAGTTTTAATGCTTTATCCTCCAAGTCCACATGCTGCCTACGGTTTGAGACACAATGTCAGGAAAACACCAACGTAAGTGTGTTACAGGCAAAGCCCTCCCTCCAAACCAAGGTGCTGGAACTCATCTACTGTGGGCCGAGTGTTCCAGCTGGAGACAGCAAGAGTGTTTAAGGCCCAGGTGCTCAAATCTTGAACCAAGAGTAAGAGGTCATGAAGTTGAGAGGCAGAGAAACTGTGTGCAAGTTTGTGAACATATGCAGATGTCAATCACTCAGCCTCACAACACCAGGAGTGATGCTTCAGATCTAAAACGGACACACTGCAGCGTGTGGTAACTCGTGAGGTGAGAAAAAGAAGATCCAGCTCACTTTGATGTTTCGATGAACAGATTCACATACTGTTCCTGTATGATCTACACGGCGTTTTTTTTGTAGCATCTCACAGCCGTGGAATGTTTGAAATAAATCTTTGTTGCGATTCTAGTTCAGTGGTAAAATACCAAAGCACTACGGGTCGCCTCCCTTGGCCTCGGCTGCTTCTGTGCTTCTGACAGTGCTATCGGCTGGCAGTAAAGGAAGCAGTAGCTGAATATTTTCCATTGTCAGGGTGGAATTGTTTGGCTGACCTCCGTCTGCACCGGAGTGCAGGTCGGCTGAGCGGCGTGTGGAGGTGGTGGGAGAACTGACTGACAGCAGTGAATAGAGAAAGCAAAAAGAAAGAAGAGTAACAACAAGTAAATATTAGTGAAGCTTTCGCTGAGCAGAGAAAGACGAAGCTAGAGAGAAGTTTCTGTCCCAGTGCAGAGGTGGCATTATTAACACTATATATATCTGATGTAGTCTAATAAAGCTGTTTCAGTGGCCTCTCTGGCTGAAAGTCTGTTGACACACACACCGATAAACACTCCCACATCACTGCAGCAAAGGTGAAAAGTTAAATCACTAAAGGTCAGCAAAAACAAGATTTTCAGGAGGTGCTGAGTTGCTGGATGGTCGGTCCAGAGTTGACCTCAAAGCCCAAAGTAAACAGATCAATTCTGGAGCTGAAGAGTCGGCAGTGGTCAGAGCTTCTGTTAAAGCTTCAGTTGGTCACTTTTATAAAAATGACTTTTTGTCATATTTGCTGAAACTGTCACTAAATCTCGACAGTTGTCATGAGCAGTGACTGACATATCTGACAACTGCGTTAGAGACTCCTCTGTTCTGATTGACTGTTTTCGTTTAGAGATGATGGATTCTTGCAAATGCCATTAGAAGCACTCAAGGAAACACACCTTTTTTTTAATCTACATATTATCTGTCTCATATACAATACTTGCTATACTCGCTAAACGAAAACAGTTAAGCAGAAATGAGGAGTCTCTAATGCAGTTGTTAATCATATCAGTCACTGCTGATGAGTTACCAACAACTGTTTCACCATGGTTTCTACAGCTTACAGCAAGATAGATTTAAGACTTTAATAATAACTTAATACATTTTATTTATGTAGCACCGTTCAAAACACAGTTACAAAGTGCTGTATAATAAAACTAAACACATTTAAAACACAAGGAGAATGAAACAAACTAAAATGTCATGAAATGTCTTCTAAGAAAGAAAAAAAAAAGATTGGCCAAAACTAAAATGAAGATAATAAATGGAAATTAAACTCGATAAGACTTTAAGACTTTTCATTTTACTCAGAATGAACAATTTTACAATATCAAAAACTGAAAAATCAAACCATCTGGGGTCAGGGAAAATTTTGCATAAAATGTTTATTGTGACAAAAACACGACATTTTGGGGGAAAAAGGTGGCGTTTGTTGGCAAGTTTTCTTGGCGTTCCTCACTCTCCAGAACTCAGCTGCTCGTCTTCTCACACACTCCCACACCCGTGACCACATCACCTCCATCCTTCATAACCTCCAATGGCTCCGCATCCCCCAGCGTATCCACTTCAAACTCCTCATCACCACTTACAAAGCTCTCCACAACCTGTCTGAGCTTCTCCATTGGCACACTCCCTCCCACACTCACTCTCAGGTGTGCTGATGCCAACCTCCTGGGCCTTTTCCATCACTGCTCCCACCCTCTGGAGCTCACTCCCTCAACACATCAGAGACTCCTCCTCATTCTCCACCTTCAAAAAAAACCTCAAATCACACCTTTTCAAAACTGTCTACAACATTTAAATACAGTGTACTTCACCCTTTCTGCATTATTATTTTTTATTTTTTGCTGTTGTTGTTCTCTGTAAAGCGTCCTTGGGTATATAAATCCAGTGTGTTACATGTTGGATTGCAATGCCTTAATTCACATTGCACTGAGTTTACGCATTACTGGTTTCAGCTATGCCACAAAATCTTGGTTGAATAGCCAGTGTTTGTTTAATTTGCACTTTCCCGTGTCATCCAGGGTACAGTGACAGCTATCCAGCAGACAGTGGATCCTCTGCACTGAGCATCCTGACCAGAAACAAATTATAAAGGGTGTTGGTCCTCTATCCTGATCTGCGTAAATTATTTAATAAATGCAGGTATGTATTATTTGGCAAATTGACAACGTAACTTCCAAAAAAAAATAAAGAAATCCTACTTCCCATGTCATAGCATTTTTAAGACTTTTAAAGATTAATTTAAAACACTTTAATAACAATTAGGGCCTTTTTTTTTTTAGATGAATGAATTCGGTGCCTTTTAAGACTTTTTAAGGACCTGCAGGAACCCTGTTTTAAGTCAGAAGAGAGAAAGTGCAGGGACCGCTGGAAACTTAGATCGAAGTCCAACTGGCAATACTTAAATCTGTATTGGATTTATTCAACAGTTCTGAAAATATCAGAATCCACGCATCAAGAAAATGTAGAGGGGAAAGGACACTCCACTATACTGTTACCTAATGCTGTCAAAAGTATTCCATACTTTTTCGATACTGCGTGTTTAAAACCATCCAAGCTCTGTTAAACATTTGATAGTACTGAAAGTGCAGAAGCTATTCAAACAAAACAGGAGAAAAGAAAGAGACCTACAATCAGACTTTCTTCTCAAAGCAGCGCAGATGAAACAACAGGGAAGGACATTAACTGGTCCTCAACCTGTGGCTATGACAGCATTCCCTCCAGTGACAAACCCAGGACACGACTCTGTTAATTAAAAATATTTGTGTACCTGAGACTTTTTTTTCTTTTTACTTTGGTATCAAAAGAGGTATAATCTTTTTTTATACTAGTGCTGTATCGTTTTAAACTACAGTATCATGACAACCCTGAACAATACTACAAGTATCCTAGATCCATGACTCTAACCACACACATGAGAGGGCAGGATATTGTATTGGCCTTTGTGTGTGTGTGTGTGTGTGTGTGTGTGTGTGTGTGTGTGTGTGTGTGTGTGCACCTGGCCCACAGTTCCATCTCCAGCCGTCACCTCTCCTCACCTCATCAGTCGAAGACGCCGAGCTTCCTGATCGATGACTTTCACAAGCTCTGTGTTTTGATGGATTGACCCGATGCCACGCCAAATACCTCCGCTGTAAGCGCAATTAAAATAATAAACGCAGGATTTCTGACACAGGCATGCCTCATGGCGAGCGCGGTAATCATTTACCGGCGCATTTCATTTCTCGGTTGACAGAGACAAAGGAGATCACCACGTCCCCATGTAGCAAAGCAGGAGAGCGGGGCTGTGATAGATTGCGACCGTTTGTCTTCGGGATAGTGGCTGTGTGAGTCTTCGAGTGTGTATCCACCGCTACGTGTCTGTGTGGGGTTGTGTGTGCTGATTGCTGGTTAAGTGTGATGAACTCAAATATACATGACCCCGTTCTCAAGCCTTTCTACGTGTCACAGTACATCTATTGTAGTGGTAAGTCTGTGTCTGTGTGTGTGTGTGTGTGTGTGTGTGTAGCTGTATTGTTTTAATTTAATAGAAATTAATCATGACATCACTAGTGCAGACATTCAAAAACCCACATGCTGATCTGACATGTAAGCCTGATCCTTTTGGGAACCCCCCATCTTTTCACAATCCTTGACACTGAGAGGTATTGAATATTTGTATGCACTGTACTGTAAGTGTGTGTGTGTGTGTGTGTGTGTGTGTGTGTGTGTGTGTGTGTGTGTTGTGGTGGGAGAGGACTTCATACTGAGCTGTTGTTTCTGGCAGACCCCAAATAAGCATGACGACAGCGCATTAAAAAAGGAGCTCGTCCAGCTCCCCTTCTATCCCGCCATCGTGCAGGCAGCTCCGTCTGGCTGAGACACCTGCAGGGGCCTGATGGATAGCCAGTGATGCATTTGAAAATAAGAACGTGTAAATTCATTTTGTAGCTGTCCGTGTCTGGCTAACTAGGCCAGCAGACGCCGCCAAGGAGACAAGAAAAAGCACGGGCTGGATTGAACCACCATATCATTGTGTGTATGGCGATACACACTGTATATGTGATGACATCAGTGAGGACATGAGCCAAAGTTTGTGTTTGACTCAGTGTGTGGTGGCCAGAACTGTCTGATATTTCTTTAAGATAACACTGTGGTCTTCCACAATGAGGATAAAGTGCCTGTAGCTCTTTTACATTTGCAGATTATACAATGAATAAAGGCTGTAATAAAGACCAGGAGCCAAACTTACCTTCACGTGGGGTCTGGCCAGTAGTTTGAGAAGCTCTTTGATTTCTCCATTGGCTGATTTTCCTTCCAGCTCCTCAGACAACTAAAGAGGAGAAGACACAGAATGTTCACACAATCAGGGAAGACTATCAAATATGCTGTGAAGAAATTAAAAACCCACTGTCCTCTGTAGAGACGCTTATTTGGTAACACTTCACTTGACGGTATCTACATAAGAGTGACATGACACGGAACCTGTCATGAACATTATGTACATGTCATTAACGTTTATGACTGCTGTCATTAAGTGTCATTCGTTTTTTATAATGACAAGTTGACATTAATCAAAGTGACATTACCAGAAGTTGTCTTTGTCATGACAACTTGACATTCAATTTGTTTGGGATGTCTTGATTATGACAACTTGACATTAACCAGGATGACATTACCAGAAGTTGTCTTTGTCATAACAACTTGACATTAACAAGAAATGCACCTCTTTTTGTGTTTATGACAAGTTGCCAAGTTGTCATAATAAGGACATCCCAAACAAATTTAATGTCAACTTGTCATCCTGGTTAATGTCAAGTTGTCATGACAAAGACAACTTCTGGTAATGTCATCCTGGCTAATGTCAAGTTGTCATTATAAGGACATCCCAAACAAATTTAATGTCAACTTGTCATGACAAAGACAACTTCTGGTAATGTCACTTCAATTAATGTCAAGTTGTCATAATCAAGACAACCCAAACAATGTCAACTTGTCATGACAAAGACATTTTCTGGTAATGTCATCCTGGTTAATGTCAAGTTGTCATTATAAGGACATCCCAAACAAATTTAATGGCAACTTCACATTAATCAAAGTGACATTACCAGAAGATGTCTTTGTCATGACAAGCTGACATTAAATGTGTCTGGGTTGTCATGACAAGGACAACTTCTGGTAATGTCACTTTAATTAATGTCAAGTTGCCATAATCAAGACATCCCAAACAAATGTAATGTCAACTTGTCATGACAAAGACAACTTCTGGTAATGTCACTTTGATTAATGTCAACTTGTCATAATCAAGACAACCCAAACAATGTCAACTTGTCATTACAAAAACCGAATGACACTTAATGACAGCAGTCATAAACCTTTATGACATGTACATAATGTTTATGACAAGTTCATGACCGTGTCATGTCATAGTTATGACAATGTCATGTCACCCTTATGTAGATACTTTCAAGTAAAGTGTTACCGATTATTTTTTATGATGATTGTCCTGTTTTCAAAGCCATATTTCAACACTGTCTATATTTAAAAACTGATTCTATTATATATGAAGATTACCAGAGATAGATGTAATGGAAACTACTGCAAAACCATGTGTAAAAAGCACAGTTGTATACTCAAGGGCACTGGCTGTGTTTGTACTTTGAGGCAGCCCCGGCCAACAGGGGCCCATCACACAGAGAAAGTGATATTGTGCTAAATTAGGTGCATCTTAACAGGAGGCAAGGTCACACCTTGTCATGGGGCCGAGAATTTTGCACATGTTGTCATTTTTCTCTTGATTAAATTTACGATTCAACTGGATCATTTTTCAATGGAAGTCTCAGGAACAAAAGAAAACAGTCCATTCCTCTTGGAAACAATGGGAGCTGTGAGAGCATCTCTGAGCAGAGGGACCGAGCTGGACCGCGTTCATGATGAATGTCTGGTAGCTCTGAGACGAGTGACTCTGCTTCTAAAGCCCAGGCCACGCTCCTCCGTCTGCGCTCTGATTTATGGATGATCCTCCTTGGACATGGTGCGAGCGTGGAGGGGAGAGGCGAGCCGTTGCACACAAAGACGCGCCTGTGCTGAGCTGGGATCAGGGGATGATGTCGACTGCACAAAGAGGGCCAGTGGAGACTGGGGTGTGAAGGGAGAGCTAACAGTGATACCAAGAATTACACAAACGTGCACTGTCATGTTTCATCTCTTGTGTGTGTGCATGCATGAACAGATGGTCGCACTGAACATGATGTGTGTATTTTGTACTGCATGTATGCTAAAAATAAGACATCAAAGCAATCTGTGGTGTCTTTATATTATGATTTGATGCACGTTGCCTTCACTTCAGAATTCAAGCAGCATTATTTTAAGAGTAATTAAATGTAGAGCAGAAATTATTAATCGCAAAGTTAAATGACAACTATTGTGTTAATCGGTTATGGTCAGCTTTTGAGTAACTTGCCATACACATATTGAAAATAAACATCTTTGCATTTTGGGCTGCTGCTCGGACTAAAGAAGTAATCTGAAGACGTCAGTGACCTTGAGCTTTTTTCACTACATGGCTCTGCAGTGGTCAAGTATGTTTTTTTTTTTTGTATGTCATGTTTGATGTAACAAACATGCTGGAAAGCAGGTTAGTAAACAGCAGAAAGCAGCACAGAGGCCAGAGAAAATGCCACATGCTGACTAATTTGCAAAGATTAGTCAGCATGTGACAGAGGCCAGAGAAAATGCCACATGCTGACTAATTTGCAAAGATTTCTCAGCTCTGCTTTGACGGCACAGACAAAAATGATGGTGGCCTGTCATTGCATCACGCCACAAAAGGGGCAAAAATTAGTGCATCACTGCAGGTGTCGTTTCTATCACTGATGATTGGAGCTGATCGGAGCTGGAACTGATGATTAAATTCAATTATAACCTTTCCCTTTAAGGACAAAAGCTGTTAGTGGGCTTTTTTGTCCAGTGGGAAAGGGGTTTTCATTTCTTAATATAGACAATTAATGAAGACGATAGTTGGTAGACTAATGAAACTTAAGGGAGCGCTTGTTACATGTTTATTAATAGTAAATAATGTCACAAAAAGTCTGGTTTCTAATCATTTTTGTAAAATACATACATACTGACGTAAAACACGAGGACAAAATTATTGCTTTGGACCACAATGATGCTTTTTCTTAACCATACCGGGGCGTCAGGACAGAGGGCTGACTGTAAAGCCTTCAGAGACAATATATGGACCTGCATTTGTATAGCACCTTTTCTAGTCATCCGACCACTCAAAGCACTTTTCACACTACGAGTCACATTCACCCATTCACACACGCATTTATACACTGGTGGCCAACGCTACCATACAAGGTGCCACCTGCGACTCAGTTTTTAACACACACACACACCGATGGAAGCATCATCAGGAGCAATTTGGGGTTCAGTATCTTGCTCAAGGATCAAACCAGACAGGAGGAGCAGAGAGGAGGAGCTGGGGATCGAACCACTGATCTTCCGATTGGTGGACGACCCGCTCTACCTCTGAGATGATGATGATGATGATGATGATGATGATGATGATGATATGTGATTTTGAGATTCACATATAAATAGTAGTTGGTGTATTAACTAAAGAATGACTTGAATAAAAGAATAAATAATAACAGTTGGGAGATAAACGAACAGGTCAGTCGTCGCTACAAATCACCTCACAGTGGATGAAAATGTGGCTGGTCACTTGAAATTAGGGCTGTGTATTGGCAAGAATCTGGCGATACAATATGTTAAATGATACAGGGGTTATGATTTAATATATTGTGATACTGTAGGCAAGGTAACATTTTTTAAAATCAAATTTTACTGTCACCTCCCACACCAACACATCACCATATGCATAAAAATTTAAATTTAAATTTAACATCATCGTTCAACATCATCGCACTAGTTTCTGCGCTATCTGGACAAAGGAATTAACATTTAGCTCTATTAGTACAAATTAAACAATTAAAATCTATAGTGTTTTTGAGAATAATACAAATAAAAATAAAAATAATATTAAAATACCCAAGCATATGGATTCATTCTTACACCCCTAATTCAAAATATTCCCTTTAATAAAATGTTAAGTTAAAAAACAAAAACAAACATAAACAAAATGCTCAGTTCTTTGACACCTGTTACATAGCGATTAACCCTTCAGCACAGATTGTGTCTGGTAAAAGTGTCAGCATGAAGCAGTGCCGCAAAGAAGCGTGAAGAGACACATGGATCATTTCGGTGCCTCTGCTGTCGTCACCTAACAGATAAGTTGAACAGGGAAATTTCTCCAAAACGCAGCGTGCTCCTTTAAGGCAGATGATGACAGAGGTTGGGAAAACCTACAGTTTGTTTGACTAACGACCCCTGCGGTGCGGGAGTAAAGTAACAGAGGTGAGGCAGAGGTAAAGGCAGGGGGCCGAGGGTTAGACTGGGGTTAGGGAGGACGCTATGTCACTTTACCCCAGGACGGGAACATGTGCTTTCGCCTGGTGGTGGTGGTGGTGGTGGTGGGGGGTGTCTTTTCATTATTTCCATGAGCTTTGACCCCCCCCCCCCCGAGGGAGAGAGACCACGCTAATGAATAGTCACAGTGGTCAAGGTTACTCTGACTGAACCTCAGTCAACCCTGCATTACTTCACTTTCTCAAATATACAGAATAATAGCATCTGAGAGGTCGGAGGGAGATGGAGGAAGTGTGAGGAAAAACAAAATGTGACAGGGAAGAAGTGGAGATAAAGACCCCAAACAAAGAGATATCTTCTCACATGATCAGAGGGGAGAAGATAACACGGAGTAGGAGAGAGGTGGAGATGGAGGGGAGTCGGGGGTCAGGGTCTTTAGTGAGGGAAAATCTCTCGCTCCGATACGTCGTCATCCATCATCTCATTGCCAAGCTGTTTACAGCGAGGGAGGCAGACAACGAAAGACAGAGAACTGTAAATTTCCAGTCCCTCATACTGTCCTATTAAAGCACCTTGTCCCATAACTCAGCACGCAGGACAGATGGGACATGTTTGACAACATGCTCTGCTCTCTGCCTTCATGCTCCTATGTTGGAGTCATATTTTCCATCCTCAGACCTTCGCAGAGAACGAGGGAGGGGGCAAAGAAAAAAAAGATGCCGGTCTCCTTTGAGACTGTTTATTTCATTTGTAAAATGTCATGGCAGGCACTGCAGTGTTTAGATAAGTTTGATCCCAGCATGTCAGTTTATAGCTCTCCCCTGAACCCAAGCAGCTCAGGGCTCATTGCTTTGATTTATAGCTGCCAATATATCACGCTGACCTTATTTCAAAGTGCTTTTATTAAGACATATTAAAACTACTAACCTTTAATTTAGAGAAATCTGACCTCAGCCATCCGTTTCGTACCGTGGATAAAATGCGCTTTGGCTTGATTTATTGTGCAACTGATCAATAATACACCCATCGACTAAAGTACATTTTTAACCTGGTTTCATTCTCATACAGCATTTTGATTAGATTTTACACAGTCGTGCACGAAGATGTTTTCCTATTATTATATTTTATAGCTTTCAATAAAAGTTTTAAAGTGTCACGGTCGACATACTGGCCTTCACACTCTTAGAGAAATGAAATTGAAAAGGAAATAATGAATAGATGAATTTCTCTCATGCAAATAATCAAATTTCTATCTGAAAAAGAAGTGACTTCAATCCAAATGTATTTGTAATGGGGTCATTCTTGCAATCTGTACAGTGTATCACTGGAACTATTTAAGATGCCTTTGCTGAACTTGTAGTTTAAATAACAATAATGACTTGCAGGCGTGCTTATATACAGCTTGAGCTTTGTCACGCATAAACTCAAAAGTTGTATGTATGGAAAACAGAGCCTCTCTTTGAATAAGAGGATAACAGTGTGATGGACAAGAAAATTAAGTTCAACAATGAGAAATAAAAGCTGTAAAGGAAGGAGAAAGCTTTAAAGCCTTAATTAGCTGTGAAAACTGACATAAATTAAGCCCGCTTTTCTGTCTGTCTCTGTCCCATCACTGGCTGTACATCTGGACTGTAGACCAGTGCCCTCTGATGGCACCCAGTGGTCTTCCCCAGTAACAGCAGTATTTGGGTGAGATGAAGACATTGGGAACTCGGCCAGAGGAGGAAAAGGAGGCTTTGAGTGGAGGAGGATACGAGTCAGCCACCAGGACATACAGTCTCAGTTCAGGAGATGGACACTGATCTGGAACGAGGGGCTGGCATTCAGCGGCGTGTGTGTAGCTTTTCGACAGGACTGATAGAGACTGATGGGATGGACAGACTGGAGCGTACACGGAGTTGGCTCTCGTGTGAGGCTGATTTGCCCCTTTTGATTAATGTAATGTGGTATTTTGCATTCCACAACGAAGCAAGAGTGCTTCTATTTCAGTCTTAATGAGGGCTGGAGAGAAACTGTGTGTGTATGTACATCCATAAAAGTGTGTATGCAGTCACCCACCGACATGTCTTTATATGTATGTAATACACCGCCTATTCCCTGGGCCCGGTATCGATCGTGTTTCAGCCGGTGCTCGTTTGTTTGAGCAGTGGCAGTCACCTGCTGTGTGTGCTAGACACTGCAGCCAGGGGCAGACGGGGGTTGAAGTGTCATTTTATGTTAGGCAATAAATTAAGCCTCCATTACCTGAAACCCAAGCCCGAAATGAATTTCATCTAACTGTAGATCTCTCCCGTTGCACTTCAGCCCTCAGCCACCACTTCAATAGCGTTCATTTGGAGCGGTGACACGGGTGAAAAACAATCCGCTTTAAAAATACACTGCAACGCTCCGGGTTGGGAGTTTTTCTTTTTTTTTCTGACCAGCCCATGAAGGGGGACTCAGGATTGCGGTGTGCTGTGAGACGCTTTGATACACCATCTCTGGGATTTATTCCGATACCTGATAATCCCGAGGAGACGCTTTGCGGGGCATTTACCAGGAAGCATAAATTTGAAAGTCTGTAATTTGACAAAAAGAATGAGAAATAAAATCTTTAAGGGGGAGGGGAGATGGTGTCTGATAGCTGGGGGTCTCTTGAACAGTATGTAGCCTCCTGCCACAACCTGGGGAGGCAGAGCAAAGAGAAACAGAGGTGATCCTTCACACTCTGCAGGCTGCTTGAATCTGGCATAATGCTTGTTCTGGTGTTATCTGGTTAGTGGTGTCCTTTGCCAGGGCTAACAGCAGGGTAGGACAAACACACAAAAAGAAGCAATAAAACGTCTATTTGAGAATATGGTGCCTGAAGACTCAAACTGCGCCATCCTGGTTTGGTTAAGGGACCTAGGTGGTTTGGGACTCCCGTCATCTGTGTTGGCGTGTGCGGATCGTCCAGGATGGAACGTTCTGGCTCCTCCGCTGACACTTATGGCCTGTAAGGTCAGGAAAACCACTCTGAACCACAAGACAGCCTTTCTTTTCGTGACAGTCTCGGGACACTCTGGAGTCTCTCCTCCCCTGTCTTTACCCCAACCGACTGTACAAACTTCAGCCCCTCTTTCTCTCGTCTTTCCCTTGACTCGGTACTAATTAGGATGATGTATGGCTGCGGGCTCTTTAGAAGGGGTGGAATAGTCGGAGGCACTTTGATTACAATAAACAGAGCTGGGGATTTCAAACAAAACCGCACACCAGTAAAAGGTCTCCGTTCACTGTGCCAGGCTGGTTCTTGGGTTTACACAGGTGTGTGTGTGTGTTCGTGTGTGTGCACACATGCGGATGTGAGCGGGGTGCTTGCGTGCTTGTGTGCACACATGGCTTTCAATAAATATTGCAGATGAACAATACAGTAACAAATGTCAGGACACCGGACATTTACTCTATAAATCAGACTAAATATCTTTCACAGCTTGACGAGAGCAGCAGAGCCAGTGGAAGAAAATCATCACCAGTGGTGCTGCTGGTACTATTATTGTCTGTGTGATGACTTCTCATTAACAGGTTAACTAATGACAAAGGACTGCATGCCATGGGTGATGTTTCCTCTCACTACATCCGTGTTCTCCCCTGACTTCTGTTTATACGATGCAACTCCACAGTTATCTGTATTTTGTCTGCCGCTGTCATGCCTGCCCATCCATCTTCAGCTCTGCTCTGATTGAGTGGCCTTTCCATCCGGTTTCTGCCCGAGGAAAATTATTGGTCTGTCCTCGCAGAACTGGATTTTCAATTTCGTGGTGGATGGCTAGATGTTTGGGCAATGAGTGGGAAGGCAGGGTAGGTGATGGGTGTAGAGGAGGGACAGTGTAGTGTTATTGTAAAAGTGAGTCTAGAAAAACACGCTGAGAAGGGGACGGTTCTTAGGTCACTGCAGGGTGAGAGGTGAAAGAAGACAAGCATCGCAAAGGCTACAGCACACTACCAGGAAGGGTGATGAGTGTATGCATGTGTGACTGTGTGAGTGTGTGTTACAGGTATCTGGTCTATTTGTGTTCAATCTGCAGAACAAGACAATCTGCCTGTTTACACTGAGTCTCTCTGAATTTACATATATGTAAATCATGTTTGCTTGGGTTTTCAAACACAAACAGCAGGACAGACCATGCAAGACAAAAAGACATGATGTGTGTAAGTGGGTGACAAATGAAAGGAAAACCTGGATAAACGAGTTAAAGAAACATAAAAAATGCAGAGTCCTTTCTAATGGACAAGAGCTCTCCCAGAATAGACTGATCAGGGATGGTTATCGTTGGGATCTTATTGATATTGATACACTCTTGCTGATACTATTCTCCATCACTTGGAGTAAAAACTAATCTGTAATAATGAAAACTGTTTCATTTATTTGTGGCGGACTGCCACAATATCAGCACTTGCTGACACATATTGCAGCTGGACTCTTCATTTGGAGCAATGCCAAATATATATACCATTTCGATATTCAGAGCACCACACTCTCAGAGGTGACGATCGTACTCTGGGCACTTTGTCTGATGGAATTGAGCAGCAGAGTGCCAAGTGCAGTGAAAGTGTGATGAACTTAACAGTTCATTAATTCATATGAAGGTATAATGCTCTATTTTTTCTAACAATAGCACTTTCATTTTAGTGTAGAGCATCAGATTGGATTTATGAACGCACCCCAGGGTTTTGTTCATTTATGGTGGCCCGCCACGATATCAGCATTTGCTGCCACATGTGGATTTTCTATTTTTGAAACTGGACTGTTAATTTGGAACAATGTTTGAATACATAAACTGTTTGTTATTCAGAGCACCACACTCTCAGAGCAGCAGAGCAAACTCTGGGCAGAGACGCCAGGCGCAGTGAAAGTGAAACTTCACCATTTCTTAATTCATATAGAAATATAACCCTCTATTTCTTTGAACAGCAGGGCTCTCGTTTTGGTGTTGTTTATCTGACCACAAGCTGATTGACTAATTAATTCTCCATTCTGTGACTCAAACTTAGCAAACTGCTAAGGAAGAAAAAAAAAAAAACTCTCGACAGCTTATTTAGGGACATATATTAGAAGTGCTTAAAACTGATGCTAACTATGTACTTAGTTAATGACTACTGACTTATTTATAACGAAAGCAAGTGTTACCTTGACGTGACGAGGTCGAGACAGTCATATTTTTATTTTGAGAAATCCCATCATTATGGGAACTTGGAGGCTACACTGAGGACGTATGTCTCTGCTGAAGCAGTTAAACACACTGCACTGCTTTAGATTAACAGAATGTTGTATTTGTAGTTGTGTCATGGGGTTGCTGTTGCTACCTCTTTACATGCAGCTACTTTTTTACATTATAAATTGCCTTCAGCTGCATTTTGATTATATTTAGTAAAGCGAGCCCACACTTGAATGTTTTGCCCTGTAAGCCACGACTGGAGAGCACAGAATGTAAACACACGGTTATACAATGTCAAATGTAATTGCCTACAATGGGAGCTTTGTCATCTGAAGGGGACGCTTGATAATTTGAAATGCTGGTTATGTCAGAATTAATTAACGTCACATTAATACTAATAGCAGCATTTTTTGTCCTGGAGCTTATCAATACTTGGCACTGACAAGTCTTGATACCCATCCCTTTGTTATATGAGTCTGAAGATGATGTGAATCATACGTTGTGGCCTTCACAGTCTCCACATCTCATCCTAAGTGAATACTTGCAGATATTTCTGTAAGAACCTTTTGGGGGATCACGTTGGCTTGTCACCTCACTGAGACACCTTATATTGTGTCTTTCTTTCATTTGTCACCCATCAGCATGTGCAACTAAGTAAAGGGAAGCCTTCCTTCCAAAAAATGAACTTACTTCATTGGCCAGAGCTGCGGCGCTGTCCAGGATGGGGACGGGTTTGCTCTGTTCGTAGTGCTGCAGCTGTTCGTGGATCTGAAAGGACAGATTGTGTTCATCAGTAAGCGAAAGAGAGAGAGAGGAAGGAGGTCAGTGTTGGGCCACAGAGGCCACAGCGAGGCCTCTCTGAGCAAACACACACACGTGCGAGCAAAGTATGCACACACACAAACCCATGTGCACTGCTACAAGCACACATGTATGAAAACATGTACAGCCTACATCCTCACCGTGTTCTACTCATGCACACTCACAGTACATCAAAACGGCAAGAAATCTCACTAGAAGTACACAAACACAACTCTTTCACACACCCTCGACTGAGCACAACAGAGTGCTTCTAAGTATTTCAGCTCGCTCAGCCACTGTACAAACAATCCCGTTTTTCCACCATGCATTTGATATGCCCTAGTGGCCCGGTGAGGATTTCCAAATCATTTCAACAGTCTGGTTAAATTGGCTAAACATTTCCTTATCAGCCTCAACACTGCAACTGCACAATGTTGAGAGACAAAGCTGTATCTCTGGAGACTTAGTAAAATGGAAAGTACGCCTGACTCGTGTGTTAACGTTTACTCATTTACACACAAAAAAACACTTCATCACTCAAAAACTGATATGTGGAGCAGAGATGGAATAATTTATACACGGCCACATGCTTGTGCTCCGGCCTACGCACACACACACACACATGCGCACGCACACACATTAACACAAAACACTACAGCAATCCCATTTGCGTTTTAAGAGCAGCTGTGTGGGAATGTGTTGACAGCCTACAGGCTGCTGTCAGGTCCCATCAGAAAACAGACAGGGACGCCTATCCTCCCAGCAGCCACTCTTGAGCCTCTTCTCAGCCCAGCATGGTGAAGGGGAGCTGGGCCACGGGGCTGACTGATAGCTGGGCCCCGGTCCTGGAGCCTCCAGCTGGATGTCCCACAAAGCATTCCAGCACGATGGTGGAACAGAAGGCCCTCTGGCTGGAGAGAGTGACAGAGAAGCTCCCGGGCCAACTCGGTGGCCAAATCCACACATGTGGGTGCAAACACACACACATGCAGATGGAGCTGTGTCAATTTGCGACAGAGAACCACTCAGCAGGACAGAGAGTGACAAGAGTAGCAGTTTGTTTGCTGTCACTTTGTGAGCAGCTACAGATGCTGTGCACAATTAAACATCTGTTTTTGGATTGTTAGACATAATATTTCCTCCCCACCACACAAACCATTTTTAACTAGACAGCACTCCACAGTAGCAGCTCTGTGGATACTGTTCGATGACACAATCACACAAGGCGATCTGTCCTCTCTGATGGCATTCCCATTGGAAATGTTTTTCAGTACTTTGGCTTTGGGCTAGAAATTTTGGGGAAGGTCTGATTAGCAAAAAGATGTGTAGATAGGTTTATTTGAACGTTTTCAAGCTGTCATCTGTCTTTGATTGCCACCAGCTTCCATGATGTCATTCACAACAGTATCAATACGCCATGTCTGCATTCCAAAGGCACTTTCTGGTGACAAAAATGGAGCACAACTATGTGTTAAATGTCATTGCGTATGTACGCCCCTCTCTAACCTTAAAAACTCCAGCTCAACTGTTGGCCTCTAACAGGTGGAGCCATTTCAGCTCGACTTATCCATGCAGTCTCCTGTGATAAATCATGACCCGTGAGGACTGTGTCTCAGCCAGCCGAGCAGCCATGTTTCAAGGTCAGCTTAGAGGTTCAAATCCCTGTGTAAAGCCGACATTATTCGGCTATAAAACATGGTGCATTAGGCGCGTCGTGGAGGTAATCTGTCGAAGGCCCGTGGGAGGCAGATGGTTCCTCAGCTCAGCTGTAGAGCGCACAAAGCTGGGACTTGAGGACCCCAGAAGGGATGTGAAGTTAGACAAATGGTAGCGGAAAGAGCAAGCAATATAGAAGGTTTTGGAATGACCTGGAGAAATGCAGGAACTTGCACGAGAGCGGCGATAAGGCTGGGGACAGAGATAGAACTTACAGTACAAGCTTGCAGTGCAGCTGACATACGCCTGAGTATACTCCACTCTTTAAGTGGTACTGAGTTGAACTGCTGTCAGTGTGTTCCATGTTTCATGGCATCATATTTAAGACAGCCACTCAAGGGCAATTCCTGGAAATTTTTTATCCTCATCTGTTTAATTTCACATAGCCACGTCATATTTGAACGGTTACTTCTCTACTGTTCATGAAGTCCCAACAACTCCACCCAGTGCTCCGACTCCTCTGTCTGTTCTTCTACAAAAAGAGGGCCGTAAAAAGCCAGGCAGGCAGCTCCGGTTACTTCATCTGTCCTCATCATCTTTGTAAGAAAACAGATGAAATAAATGAGAGAGGTTGCCAGTGTCTTCAGCGATCCAACATACCACGGTCCTAGTGACATCTGCTTAGGTAGTTGTTGCTCCACCACCTCGACTTACTTAGTTACTGTGGAATTTCTCCTCTGCTCGCTGAGCAAACGCGAGATTGAAATGCTTTTATTTACAGTTCAGGACACTTTCCAAGTGCCTGTCCATGACGCAGTAATGTATTTTAAAGTCATTACCCCGCTTTTTGCATAGCACGTTCTCTGTCCCTTTGGTGAGGCTACAGTGCTCCTGGCAAACGAGAGAAGTGGCCTGGTGGAATTAAAAGAAAAAAAAAAAAAACAGTGAGAGACAGTGTGCTACAGCCAAGGAGGGCTTAGCTCAAACCAGAGTGCGACTCCTGGACACACAGCTGAATCAAAGACTGGGATTATGAAGCTTCTCCGATGAGAAATGTAGTGCTACTTTTATGTAAAATAAGGAAGAAGAGTCAGGATCAAAATGCTCGAAACTCAGGGGAGGAAAGCTCCCTGAAGTAGACGCTGAGAAAAGATGAATGAATGTGCACCTTCACTGAAAGCTTCAGAAAAAAACATGCTACAAAAGGAGCAGTGTGTGTCCTGTCTCCACAGAGGCCTCCGGCTAAGTTGTGTTTGCTTCCAGAAATACCCCGCGGGCTTAAAATACACAGCAACACATGAGGAGAAAAAAAATGTGAAGAAAAACACTAACACGGCTAAGAATTGATATGAAAAAATTCCAACAAGGATGGACTGGAACAAAAACATCACATCCATCTTCGTCTTCCTCAGACAAGAGCTCCAACCACTGCTGAGGATCACTGTTAAGGTTAAGGGTCAGTTACCTTGGAGACTTTTCAAGAAACCTTTCGCAATAAAATTCAGTAAGTCAGACTGTATTTATGTTCTCTTCAAGATCAAAGTGCAACAGCAAGAAGAACAATGACCGCCTCAAGCCGTGATTGTCAACGTGGATGTATAACTAAGGAAAAAAGCCATACAAACACTAATCCAGACACACTACAGCAAGCAATGTCTGGCACAGAAAGAGGGAACAAGCGTGCAAGAGAGGGAAAGTTGATAGATGGAGAGGTGTGCTGATGGAAGGAGAAAGAGAGGTCTGGAGATCACAGGGCTGGATAGTGTTTCTGTTTCTGAGTCTTGCAAAGAGGCTCAAGGCCTCTGGTTAATGTCCACTGCCCAGAAAACTTCAGGTCGGACCAGTTGGGGTTGACGATCTTTCTCCTACTCCTGTTTCTATATCTACCCACCGGAGCGGATCCAGTATCAGGCCTCTGTTAATCCACCCGGGTCCGATCTCTTGGTCTGATCCAGAACACCTTGTCAAGGCACTGTGGCCTGATAGACTAGACCAAGTCAGGGAGACGGGAAGGGGGGATTACAGACAGACGTGCAGGGCTGCAACTGGAATAGATGTGAAATGATATGTTTACTCAAGGAGCCGAAGCTTTTTCTTCTGTTACAGTAAGTCAGTTAATGAAGTGTTGGCTTTCGCCCTGGTATGATGGCAACAGGTCCTGGACATTGTGTTGTGGTTCATGAACAATCCTGCAGATGACATTACCATTCTCCATCAGTCTGTTGAGGGTACAACTGGCTAATCCTGCTAATTGAGAGTTTACACCAACTAAAATTAGATTCAACCAGCTGTCATCACGGAGCAGATATTGAAAATGACAGCATCTGTTTTGTAGTCAAGATCAGTTTAATCAAATCCAAGTCAAGTTTGAAAGAGGTCCAGTCAAATCCGAGTGAGGACCAAGTTCAAGCAAACTGAGTCCTGTTCAAGACTAAAGTAGGCAATAGCATCTTTCCAATGCTAATATAGTAATTAAGGAGTTATGTTGGGAAGAAATAATCTATATATACACTGTATAAACTCAATATCTAACTGGAAACAAATCTAAAATGTAAATAAGTAATATTCCTGACATCTGAGTGAAGTTTAGAAAGTCACTATCAATCCTTCATCCTGTCCTCTGAATTTGCCAAAAATTTAAGATGAAGGGCAAACTAATCTTAGCAGTTAGACTATGGACATATACATAGACAACACAGGGTTGAACAAGGTATGAGACCAAGATAAGTGCAGGACTTAAAAAAAGTGGTCTAAAGACAAGTGTTGGACAGAAACACCTTACTAGTTACTAGTAGTAACTAGTGACAAGAGCACACCTGCTTCAGGTAGTCATACTAAAACCCTTTCCGCTGCGAAAAACACGTCCTCAAACCTAAGGTCTAAAACATCTAGGCCACTGCGACCAACAGCACAACAACATGAAGCTCCAGGAAATACACCCCACCACAGGTGAACCCTCCTAGTCCGCGGAGGTCGGCTGTAGCCCTGCGCTGGCTAAACAACCTAAACTGTTATTTAATCATGGGCAGCTGAAGGCTACAAAGAAGTACTGAAGCTTGTGGTTGGATATGTTGTAGATGAAAACAACATTTGCAACTGAAGACCCCCGGGTAAAAATAAATACATTTTAAAAAATCATTTGTACACTATCTAGCTTTAGCTACGCTAACCAGTGATTACCCTGACATTCACACAGAAGCACACATCTGAATTTTGGGGAGATACGCAATTACCAATTTTATGGAGTGTAATGGAAAAGTAATATAACGAGTAGAGTAACGAATTGCTGCTGGCAGGGAGTGATACGTAAA